AATACATAAATAAATAAATAAATAAATAAATAAATATTAGTACACTTATCAATATTAAATAAATTATAATTGTATTTGTATTATGGTAAATGAAATAAATAAATATTAGTACACTTATCAATATTAAATAAATGTTTATTGTATTTGTGTTATGGTAAATAAATAAATAAATAAATATTACTATAGCTATAAATAATTAAAAAGATGTATACCACTATTTAAATAAATAAATAGTATATCAATAATATAAATAAACATACACCTATAAATAATTAAATAAACGTACATAAGTATTATTATATCAATCACAGAATAAATAAATAACTACTTGTATTAGTGTGTCTATAAACAGACAAACAAATGTAGATTAATATTAGTATATGTATAAATAAACAAATGTATATTAGCATTTTTATACCTATAAATAAATAAATAAATATTAGAACACATATACATAATTAAAATCCATATAATTAAAATCCATATACATATTTGTATAAAATAAATAAATAAATATTAGTATACCTAAGATACTTAAATAAATGTATATTAGTATTAGTGTCAAAATAAATAAATAAATAATGTATATTAGTATCAGTCTACAAACTGTAAATTAATATCTATCTGTCTAACTATCTATTAGCTATCTATTAACTATCTAACAAACATATACAGTATCAATATTAGTATATCTATAAATAAATAAACAGATAAATATTAGTAATATATTTAAGAAAATATAAGGCTAAGACACATTCACCACCATGGATTTTACTGTTAACCAAAAATAAACATATAACTATAAAAAAATACTTGAAATAAAATAATATTAACTGAAATAAAATTAAATATAAAAAGAAAACTTTAACTTATTTTATTTCAGCTAGCTGCTTAAGCAACACGTCTCATCTTCATTTAGTTTAACTTCATGTACTAAAATAACTCAAAATAAAACTGAAATAACAATAAATAAATACATAAATAACGAAAAACACAACTAAATGGCTAAAACTTATTATAAAAATTAAAATAAAAACAGAAAATACAAAAATGTAAAACTATATTGACATATTAAAAATTACAAATATTTAAAAACAGAAATATTAAAAAATTATGTAAAATATTACAAATAATTTTAAATGGAAATATAAAAATGAAAACTATATTAAAAATACAAAATGTTAAAAGAAAAATGGAAATATTAAAAAATAATAATAATTATAAATATTTACAAATATTTAAAAAACAAAAATATATAAATACAAACGGTTTAGATATTAATGGCTGTGTGTTGAGTTATTTTGAGGGGACAGCAAATTTACACTGTTAAGCTAGCTGTACACTCACTACTTTACATTGTAGCAAAGTGTCATTTCTTCAGTGTTGTCACATGAGAAGATATAATAAAATATTTACAAAAATGTGAGGGGTGCACTCACTTCTGTGAGATACTGTATATATATATATATATATATATATATATTCACACGCAAACTCACACACACATACATATGTATGTGAATTTCATGCAAAGTCTTTCCTAATAACTCATGAGTTCATGTGCATCTGTTGATTTCACACACACACAGACAGACAGACAGACACACACACACATGCACACACCGTAGGCTGTGTTTCAGTGGGTTTAACCTCAAGCCTTTTACTCAGTCTGGCCAATATGTTCTCATGTACACATGAAACACAAATAAATCTGTCCGTGACATGCAGCGAAGACACGGCATGCATGAAGGGAAAACATCTCCGGATGAAGACGCAGGAGAAAATAGCAGTTGCGCATGGGCGTTCATAACTGCGATTCACATTCGCCTGAGAGCTACTTATTAGTCTCTGTGCGCTCGACCTCGTCTGACCGGGTGAAGAGACAGAGACGCTCGGCTCAGAGGAACAGAGCCAGACGAACAGAAGACGCTAACAGGAGCGGACGAGGCTGATCTGAGGCCAGCCGGACACGGTTATCTGCAGCTGTCCTCAACAGTGCTGGGGATCATGCATTACAAGTAACACGAGTTATGTAATCAGATTACTTTTTAAAGTAACTAGTAAAGTAATGCATTACTTTTTAATTTAGAAGGACTAATTTTTCAAATAAGTAACACCAGTTACTTTGTTTCTCATGTATTGACTGACAGCTCTGGTGTTGCCATATTGAGAGAAATCAGGAGTAAGTGCAGAGCGTTGTGTGTGAACACGATCTTACTGTAAATGTGAACATGTATTTACTCATCTCACCTGCACAAAAACAGTATTCCTTCCAGTATTCCTCGAAATGAATGCAAACAGCCAAATGCCAACTCAAAATATTATACAAACCTGCAATAATTAAATATGTTAAATAAGACTAATATCATTTATGTATTTAATCACATTTGTGACCCTGCACCACAAAACCAGTCATAAGGCTCTTTTTTTATTGAGATTTATGCATCAGCTGAAAGCTGAATAAATAATATTTCCATTGTTGTATAGTTTGTTAGGATAGGACAATATTTGGTCGAGATACAACTATTTGAAAATCTGGAA